CTTATTTTGTTTAGCATAATACTCTCCAGGTCCCTCCCTACTATTTCAAAGGGTAAGAAATCCTTCTTTGCTGCTGCATAGCATTTTATGGTATAAATGTACTCCAGCTTTTTTATCCACTCATATATTGATGAGCACTTGGGCTGTTTCCAAATCTTAGCTATTGTAAATTGTGCTGCTATGAACATAGGGATGCATATGTATTCTTTCTGATTGGTGTTTTTGCTTTCTTAGAAGTGGGATCACTGGATCAAATGGCAGTTCCATATTTAATTTTTTGAGGAAACTCCATACTGTTTTCCATAATGATTGTGCCAGTTTGCATTCCCACCAGCGGTGTACTAGGGTTCCCTCTTCTCTACATCCTTGCCAGCACTTGGCAGTTGTTGATTTGTTGATGATAGCTATTCTGACAGGTGTGAGGTGATACCTCATTGTCGTAATTTTAATCTCTCTGATGATCAGTGACTTTGAGCATTTTTTCATATGTCTCTTGGCCATCAGTGTGTCCATTTTGGAGAAGTATCCATTTAGGTTCTTAATTGGGTTGTTTATCTTCCTTTTGTTAACTTGTATGAGTTCCTTATATATTTTGGATATAAACCCTTTATCAGATGTATCATTGGCAAGTATGTTCTTCCATACAGTGGGCTCCCATTTCATTTGTTGATGGTTTCTTTTGCTATTCAGAAACTTTTTATTTTTATATAGTCCCATTTCTTTATTTTCTCCTTAGTTTCCCTTGCCCTAGGACAGTGGTCGGCAAACTCATTAGTCAACAGAGCCAAATATCAACAGTACAACGATTGAAATTTCTTTTGAGAGCCAAGTTTTTTAAACTTAAACTATATAGGTAGGTACATTGTTATTAACTTAATTAGGGTACTCCTAAACTGGCCTCAATCTGAGGGATCGACCTCAGTGAATGTACCCCCACTTCTTCTAATGCCACGTCTTCAAAATAGACTCGCCTAGGCCGAACACTGACTTCTGCGCATGGGCCACGAAGTTTTAATCGCAATGTACGTGCGCGCCCGCACGTGGTATTTTGTGGAAGAGCCACACTCAAGAGACCAAAGGGCCACATGTGGCTCGCGAGCCACAGTTTGCCGACTACTGCCCTAGGAGATGTATCTGTAAATATATTTCTATGAGAGATGTCTTAGATTTTGCTGCCTGTGGTTTCTCATAGGATTTTTATGGCTTCATGACTTACATTTAAGTCTTTTTTATCCATTTTGAGTTTATTCTTGTGTATGGTATAAGTTAGTGGTCTAGTTTCATTTTTTTGCATGTGTCAAATTTTCCCAATACCATTTATGGTAGAGACTATCTTTACTCCATTGTATGCTCTTGCCTCCTTTGGTAAATATTAATTGAGCATAATGGCTTGGGTTGATTTCTGGGGTATTTGTTCTGTTCCATTGATCTATATGTCTGTTCTTGTGCCAGTACCAGGCAGTTTTGATTATAGTGACTTTGCAGTATAACTTGATATCTGGTATTGTGATCCTTCCAGCTTTGTTCTTCTTTCTCAAGATTGCTGCCTGCGGCTATTCAGTGTCTCTTTTTTGTTCCATATACATTTTTGGAGTGTTTGTTCTGGATCTGTGACATATGCCATTGGTACTTTAATTGGGGTTGCATTGAATCGATAGATTTTATACATTTGCCCTCTAAGAGGGTGCCTGTATATCCAGCTCTCTCTCCTTAGCAGACAGCAACCCCGTTGCTTTTCACAACCAGATGTTATATGGACACCTTTCTTAGTATTGACACTCTGGGCTGGGGAGCCCAGCTTGGGGTTAGACCCCAGAGTTCACAGTGGGGACACCCACAGCTGAGATATCCCTCCAGAACCTCAGCTGCTGTCTGCGGGAGTCCTGCCAGCCCTTTCCTGCCTTCGCACTTCCTACCAGTCTCTATGCAGTCTCCACATTCTGCCCTTCTTTATCTGGGTTCTCTCCAGCTAGTCTTCAGTTGGTTATTAAGGACTAGAGGCCTGGTACACAAAATTCGTGCCGGGGGTGGGGGGGGTCCCTCAGCCCAGCCTGCACCCTCTCCAATCCAGGACCTCTCGGAGGATCGGGCCTAAACCAGCAGTTGGACTCTCACAGTCCTGGACTGCTGGTTTCTAATCGCTCGACTGCCTGCCTGGTTGCCCCCAACTGCCCCCACCCCGTTGGCGGTGTCTCCTGGGCCCCGGTGCACATCTCCCTGCACGCTCCCTGCTTGTCACAGGCCCAGGGCCAGCGTGGTCTTCTCAGTGTCCTGTGCCTACTGGTCACGCAGTCTGCTGTTCAGTCATTTGGTCATCCTCACTAACCCCTCCTGCAGGGCTGAGGGGACTCGGCGTTACCATCTTGTGGCTGTGGGTGTTACCATATTTGGGGGCATTGCAGTCAATTAGCATATTCCCTCCTTATTGGCTGTGGGTGCCGCCATCTTTGCGATGGCATGAGGGTCAATTAGCATATTCCCTCTTTATTAGATAGGATGATTTTTCTGTATTTTAGTTGTAATTCTAGTTTGGTCCTGGGAGCATGTCAGTGTAGCATCCTCTCACTCTGCTGTCATTTTGGAATCTCCTTATTTTTCACTCTTTTTTCCTTTTTTTAAAAAAATCCTCATCCAAGAATGTTTTTCCCATCGATTTCTAGAGAGAGAGGAGAAGGGAGGGAATAGGAAGAGAGAAACATCGATGTGAGAGAGACACATTGATTGGTTGCCTCCTGCACGTGCCCCTTCCAGGGCTGGGGAACCTGCATCCGAGGTACGTGCTTTTGACTGGGAATCGAATCCGCAACCCTTCAGTTCATGGGCCAACACTCCAACCCCTGAAACACACCAGCCAGGGCAAGTTTGAGTTTTTTTAAATTTTGACAGTGAAACTAAACTAAGAACTATTTGCCCTAAATTGCTGGTACACCAGTCTATCTCCTAAGTAGATTGCCAGTTAATGATGGATTTCTTTAAGTTCTCTCATTTGTGATGTTAAAATATATATGCAGATTACTGACATAATTAATTTTACTTATGAACTTAATAAGATTTTGAAATATTTTTGCGTAGTTGATTCATTCAGTTCTTGATGTAGGCATATAGCATGTCACATAGAAAAAATAATGCATTTAGACCTTGGAAATATACAGAATCGAATTTAAATCCTGGTTACCTTGAGTAAGTTATTTAATATTCATGCATTTGTCAAGTAATAATTATGTGCCAGGCATATGGGTGGGAGCAGTGACATGGGAAGAGGGTATGACTCCTGTCTTTAAAGAATTCAAAGACTTGTACCATTGACTTCAGCCTGTGAATCTGTTGACTTGTTGACAAAATGGAGGTGAGAGAACTTAAAATTCCCAAAATAATACTTAAAGGAACCATAGATGCTCAATATGAGCTAGGTTATGTATTGTCATTCATACTATTTAATCATAGAACTACTCAGAAACGTCAGATAAAGATTAAGCCCCTTTCTTGTTTGGGAACTGCATTGCCTTGAGAGATTTATTTGTCTTGATTTGTTTGTCATTCATTCAAATATTCTTTGTTCTGGCACTAGACATATTTGCCAAGCCTCTAGAATTTGAGGGCCCTATGCCATTGCCTTGTGCCTTAGCTCTTGGTTTTCATCTTATCTAAGCATAACAGTCTGCCGGACTCCACAGAAATTACTTGTTTTTTTAGCCTGATGAAAATACTTGCTATCAGTTAAAAGAACAAATCTGTAATTTGAAAACAAGCCATCATGTAGGGCAGGGGTCTGCCTACTTTTTCTGTAAAGGGCCAGCTATTTTAGGCTTTGTGGGCCATAGGTCTAGGTTGGAACTGCTCAACTCTGATATTGTAATATAAAATCAATCATAGAAAATATATAAATGAATGTGGCTGTGTTCCAATAAAATTTTATTTATGGACACTGAAATTTAAATTTTTTATAATTTTCATATCAAAATATTCTTGTTTTTGTTTTTAAAATTTTCCATCATATAAGAATGTGAAAGCTATGCTTAAATTAGGGACTCTATAAAGAAAACAGCTATCCAGCCAGATTTGGCCAGTGTGCTATAGTTTGCTGACCCTATAGCACATGTATGATTAGCATATACATGCATAATGTATGATTTTATACACACACACACACACATACATACATACATATTTCAGAGAGGAAGGGAAAGGGGGAGAGGGAGAGATAGAGATAGAAACATCAATAATGAGAGAGAATCATTGATCGGCTGCCTCCTGAATATCTCACACTGGGGATTGAGACCACAACCCGGAATGTGCCCTGACCAGGAATGGAACTGTGACTTCTTGGTTCATAGATTGACGCTCAACACTGATCCATCACCGGCCAAACATAATGTGCGAATTTACTATAATTGTTATTGGGTAATAATTGTTAGGTACTTAGGTGAATGGTTCTTTTAGTAGGATTGTTAATATCAAAGTTTGGGTTCCGCATTTTTTTTTCTTATTCAAGCTTACTTTTATGTACAAACTATGAATGAATAGAAAAAATATAGCTTTTCTTGTTGTTTGTTTTGCCCTATCCAGTTAAGGATTTATAGGGCATCTTTTAAAGGTTAATTACACTTAGATTTTTCATTTACCTCAAGTCAAATTCTGTAAAAGTGGATTTCAAATAATGTCTACAAGGTGTTCTATATACTTCGAATTTTAAAAATGTACAAAATAGGAAATTTTGTGATTTTTTTTTAATTGTATATATGTACACATTTACACTGTGTGAGCACTATTGAGCAAAACAAAAAAGAAGCCTAGGCAAATAGATTTACAGTTGTGAGTATTCAAGAATATATTCTTATATTATTATTTATTAATTATTGTATTTTCCATATGAGCACTGTAAACCTACTTTGCCCCACCCAGTATTTTACTTTAAAAATAAAAACAATTTTTATACTAACTATAATAATTTTGTATATTAAAACTGTGACTTAAAACTCTGTAAACTTTGCTTTCTGTAGACACCAGAGAAGAAACAATCTGAATCATCCAGAGGAAGAAAGAGAAAAGCAGAAAATCAGAATGAAAGTAGTCAGGGTAAGTGAAGTAAAATCTTCCTTCAGAGCCAAGTAGGCATTTACAGTTATTCTGATTTTTAATCAGTTAATAATGTAATTGTGAAATAAGTAATTTCATGTTTTTGTGATTTTTTATGACTGTTATGTAATTTCTGCATTTAATAATAGTTTAGGAATGTATTTTATGTACTTTGCATAAGAAGTAATAATATGAAATTGGAATCTTTTTGTACCATGAATAATGTGTGGTTACTGTTTAGACTTTTTAACATTTTTCCCTTTCTTTGGCTCACTTACCTAATTCAGTTGACACCTCTTGCTCTGGAAACCTAAATGGCCTTGGGCCAAAGAAGATCTGCTAATACTAAGTGTTAAGCACCTGGCAAGCACTACCTAAGCACCTTTCATGTTTCTCTTTTTATATGATTTATGGTATTGAATAAGAACTTGAGATCTCACTTGAAAACAAGTACCCAAACTTACTCATTCCTTTTATTTCTTTAAAGAGACTATCCTATCTAATAATAGACAAACATGGTAATTTACCATACCTTTGCTACACCTCCCACTGGCTAATCAGCATGATATGCAAATTAACTGCTAACAAAGATGGCGGCTAATTTGTATACTGCAGGCAGGGCGGGTCAGTGCCATCCCTCCGCCATCTGGGCCTCTTATTTGCCACCCGGGGCGGTGGGGCAGGACAGCGCCATCCCGCCTACCCTGCAGCCATCTGGGCCTGCTATCTGTGACCCGGAGTGGGCATCCCGTGTGCAACCTGACCTAGGGCAGCCGGGCGGGACAGCGTGGCTCCTTTGTCACCCCAGCTTCCTCATCACAGCTCCCTTGGGGCCTAAGCCTTTAGTCGGACATCCCCTGAGGGCTCCCTGACTGCCAGAAGGATGTCTGACTGCAAGCTTAGGCCTGATTCCCCGGGAAG